AGGTCGAGGCTGCGGTGGCTGGGAGCGGCCACTGCACTGCAGTCTGGGTGACAGAGTAAAACAACAACTCAAAAAAAAAACAAAAAAAAACTAAATTCACTTACCCGATGTCAAGGTTCTTCATGACACGACCCTTACTTACTTCATTCCTGATTATCTCCCCAGTGTCAAACCTATACTGCACTCAAACCATTCCTCACTGGCTTCCAGATTCACGTCCAGTTCCTCGTGCCTTTTTTCTTTCTGCAGTTCCCTGCTCCCATGCATGCCTTTTGAAATCTGCAGCTTACATGCCACCCTTCCTGCCCTGAGAGACTCAGATACACTTGACCAATGAGACATCGCTTGAGCACAGTGTTGTCCGCCCTTCCTTCTTGCGGGTTGCCTCCTCTGGAGTGGGGCTTGCATCTCGTCTGTCTTTGTCCTCGGCCTCCTCTAGCTCCTGGCACACCTCTGAAGAAGGAGGAAGCCATGGGGGCAGGAGGCTCACCCCCCTAGGTCCCTGGTACCTGGCCCTGTGCTCCTCTGTGCGGCTCACTCCCCATGCTCCTCTCCATCCCCTCCTCCCGAGCTCCTAAGCTCACACACACCCTCAGTGCCAACCGCCCGCAGCGGGTGCACGTTGTGTTTGTAGACGAATTTCTCCTCTAGCACCATCTGGATGGCAACGATGATCTGGGCCATGATGATCAAGAGGTCCCCTGTGGGAGGAAGGACACAGATGAGGCCAAGGCAGCACCAGGACTGGGGCCAGGACAGTGTGGCCACAGGGACAGGACAACATGTCAGCCCCTCCCCTTTGCTGGTTCCACATGGTTCACAGGCACAGTCACGACTGTTTGTCCCGACGCCCGGTCCAAGGGGGAAGCCTCCAGAAGGGTCAGAGGCCTGAGCCTGAGAGCTGCCCTACAGGGTAAGCGGGTCTTATAAGAATCAGCAGGCTTTGAGACAGACTTTTCCAGGGGGAATCCTGAAAGTGACCCAGAAAGGTCACTTCATTATAAAATGGGCTGTGATGCTAGCACCTGGCCGGACACTTGGTGTGCTGAATAAGCAGCCATTCCTTTCTGCTTCCAAATCCAGCAATTTGTATGTCTGTTCTATGTCACAGACAAGATAGCCCCCACCCCCACCTGCCACCTCCCACTCCATCTTCCTTATACTCTATCCATTATCCCAAGAACAGGTGCATGCCATCATCTGGACCTTGACATATGGCACAGCTTATACAAGACTGTGGGATGACCCCATGCTGGGCTTCTGGGGAGGACAGGACAGGACATGGCAGTTCCAGGTGCCCACCCCACCCAGGCCTCACCTGTGATCACTTCGCTGAGCTTGTGCTGATCGTCGTGTTTGCTCAGGAGGTCGGCCAGGCCCACAACCACCAGCCCTGCAATGGTGGCCAGGATGCCCAGCCACTGACTTAGCACCAGCCTCCGACCCAGGAAGGCCACGGAAAATAGGCCCGTGAATATGATCACTGCACCCCGCAGCATCTGGAAGCTAGAGGCACTGGTCATGTTCAGAGCTAGGAGAGGAGAAATGAATGACTGTTAGTTCCTGAGGGCAAAGGCCACCTGTCACTGAGGGGTGCCCGGGGCTGGAGACACAGCCAGGACACAGTAAGTACTCCATCGGTCCTGGCTGTGGGAGTACACTTGTGTGAAGTCTGGGGGAGAGTGGCAGGGTGAAGGCAAGTGGGGGTGCTGTTTCAACAGTGGCTCCTTCAGCCAGGGCTACCTCGAAACCTTCTCCACCTGGCTTAGGTACTCACCCACATACATGATGCTGGTCCCCGTCATGTCGCAGAGGGCCGGGGGCAGAAAAAGAAGGGGGTTGAAGGGCTGCTGGGGGTCCATGCTGGAGTCCAACTGCCTTGCAGCCCTGCAGTGGAGGAGGTAGAAGGCAGCCAGGCAGGAGAACTCCCCCAGGAACATGCCCACTGCCTGCAGGAATGAGAACCCAAGGACTTCAGAGCTGGAAGGGTCTTTGTGGACCACCCTGAACACACGTTGTTTAACGCAAACTTTGTTCAAAGAAGGACTTACTGAAAAGCCCAGTAAGTAAAAAGGATGAAAGCAAAGCTGCCCTAGGAGGCCAAAGACTGCCTTCCAGGTCTACCCCAAAGCCCCCACACCCTAAGGCTGTGTAGAGTCCTGTCTGAAAACCACCGTTCTAGGCCCAAACCAAGTCAAGTTGCAGGTGGAGAAACTGAGGCCCAGAGAGGTTCAAAGACCTTTATGTAAGGCCACAAAGCAAGTTCCTGGAAGAGCTAGGGCTGACATTTGAGTCTCCCAATTCCTAGTCCAGGAAATGGAATGGTATCCTCCAACCATGGTATCTATCCTGTCCCTCTGGGTCTGGGCTCCCAGTGGATGGAGAGCAGGCTTTTGCCACTAAGGCTCTGTTCTGGGGAGGGAGAGAGAAGTGATAGCTTCTCTGGGAGTAGGAGAAGGCTTCACCCCAGGTCAGAAACTGGCCTGGTCTCACAGGGGACGTCTGGCTTGATCCCTGGGAGACAGGAGATGGGGAGGGACAGGGCCAGATACCTGGAGGAAGGGATGCTGGAAGCTGTGATCCTTGCTCTCTCCACAGCCTTTGGCCGTGAAGTTGTCTGCCCACCTGCAGCAGAGAGAGAGAAGGTCAGACCCTGGCAGCACCCTGACCTCATGCTAGTAGAGAGGCTTACCCCCTCAATGCCAAGAGGCTCAGACTTGGATGACTTGACCCCAGAGTGGGGCTCCTACTCACAGGTGCCAGTCTCCACAGCAAGGAGTTTTAACCTGACATTTCCTCAAACTAAGAATGTGGGATTGCAGTACCCATGCCTTTGTATCGCACAGAAATCAGAGGTATCCTCAGTATCACTATACATGTTGTGAAGTATCACTTATACCCACCACTCATGAAAATTATAGTAACTAGATCCACTTTCCATAATTTAATGTATCAAGAAACATGTATTACTGTAACACAAATTTTAACAAGAGACTCGTAGGTTATAACAGACGGTCAAAAAAAATCAAGAAAATATCAAGAGTCTCTGGTCTACAGGAATATCTGGGCCTTGGGAAATGACTACCTGATACAAGTTACCTAATTATCTTCATAGAACCCGAATGAGTTGGCAGAACTTTGTAAGGCTGACTCTCAAGCAGGTGGCAAACACGCCACACTTGGGGGGCGACCTTCCAGTCAGCACCCTGGCAGATGGTGATAACTGATCATGACATATTTCCCCACAGAGCCCAGATACGAGCCTAGAATCCTTTGTAACAAAGCACTTCAGGTGGTTTAACCATCAATCACTCTGAATTTTCTGGTATCTGTGCATGAAAACTCTCTCTCCTGAATTTTATCTTTACTGGGCTTATCTAAGTCTAATCTTTCAGAGAAAAGTCCTTCGATATCTGGGAATTTTTTGACCTTCTGAGTCTTCTCATCTACTGACTAAACAACCCCAGCCTTTCCTAACCTTCCACCCCTGGGTGCTGATTTCTGGAAGTGCGCTGGCCTGCCCAGGCCCAGAGCCAAGCACATGTGATCTGGCTCAGACTGAGACTGACAAGATGGGACCTATCATGTGCTAACTCAAGTCAACACAGACCCAGAGCCATTTCCTAAGGGCCACTGACCTGCTTCCAGTGCAGCAGCCCAGACAGGCAATGGGTGTTTCTAAAATGCAAGATTCAGGATCTCTTTCTGTAAAATTGCTTTCCTTGAAACAGTCTGCCAGAGAAGCCACATTGTAGGGCACAGCCCAGTACTAGCGGCCCACCTCTGCAGAAAATCTCAGCTCCTGAAGGCCGAGGGGCTCTCTGGTTCCTGCGCCTTCCCGACAGGGACACAAAGGTGCCCCACAGGCTGTGCTGCAGGTAGGGTGTGAGTTCGACAAAGATCTTGCCCAGGCTTGGCTTCCCTACGACCCTGAGTTTGGGGAGGAAAACTGGGAGGCCTTTCCCATAGCCCAGGACAAGGATGTGATTCTGGGACACCGGCAGGGGGAGGGCTGGCTGGGTGGTGACACAGCACCTGCCAACTGTGAAGGGAGCACAGACCCCTCAGGGAGTGACCACGTTTACTCCGAGATCTGAACACATCTCAGGATAAGCGGAGAAAACAGGGCTACGGCAAACCCATCTTATAGCAGGAGGCCCATCCCCTCCTGGAGATGTGGAGAAAGAAGGGCAATAAGGAGGAGGTCCTGGGAACAGCAGGGGCAAGGGGAATGGAAAGGAGATAAGTTCAGACAGGACTGGTCAGAAGGCAGACAGGAACCTGGCACCCTGCACCGTGGACTAGGGACTAACCAATCCCAGTACCACTGGGACAAAGAAAACCCCTGCTATAGAACAGGCATGATCTGCTCTCTGCTTTCTGGGGTCTTTTTTTTTTTTTTTTTTTTTTGATACAGGGTCTCACTCTGTCACCCAGGCTGTAGTCAGTGGCTTAATCATGGCTCACTGCAGCCTCAACTTCCTGGACGAAAGAGACTCTTCCATTTCAGCCACCCAAGTAGCTGGGACTATGGATGTGTGCCACATGCCCAGCTAATTTTTCAATCTTTTATTCTTTTGGAGAGGCAAAGTCTCACTATGTTGCCTAGGCTGGTCTTGAACTCCTGGGCTCAAGTGATCCTCCCACCTTGGCCTCTCAAACTGCTGGGTTTACAGGCCTTAGCTGCTACACCCAGCTCTCTGGGCTTATTTCTGCCTGATATGCTGTTGGCTCTGGCTCCTGGATTTCTGTACAGGACAGGACATGAGATGTGGGTGTGAGCCTCACCCAGGCAGACCAGTTCTCAAACCCAGGCTTGCGTTTGCAGAAAGAGCCCTCTGAGAAGGCCCAGTGAGTCCACTGAGTAAAACAGAAGTGATGTGGCGAGAAGAGATCAAACCTTCTCAAGGGCACATAACCAACAGGCCCAGAGCAAGTGAGCAGGTCAGAGAGATGGGACTTGCCAGGGTTGGAACCAGGGCTCCTCCAGGAAGGACAATGGAGGGGCTGCAAAGTCCATGAGGGTCAACCAGAAGCCTAAGGCAAGGACCTTTCACTTTCTGGAGGGAGGTGTGGCAGGCATGGAAGGTCCCAGACTGGCATGCTCAAGAAGTCCCCCAGCTGGGCTCGGTGGTTCAGCCTGTAATCCTGCGCCTTTGGGAGGCTGAGGTGAGTGGATTGCCTGAGCCCGCGGGTTCGAGATCCGCCTGGGCAGCAAGACTTCATCTCTACAATAAATCAAAAAATCAGCCGGGCGTGGTATCGTGCGCCTGTAATTCTGGCTACTCGGAAGGCTGAGGTGGAAGGATCGCCAGAGGCCAGCAGGTCGAGGCTGCAGTGGCCGGGAGCGGCCACCACTGCACTCCAGTCTGGGCGACAGAGTGAGACTCCAACTCAAAAAAAGAAGTCCCCCAGTAGCGGTACCACCACCCAGAACTCACGCAGGGCTACTGCCTGCACAACTTATCATGATGACAACTCACATCTGTAGCACATTCTGGTTTCTCATTCACTGCCATCGGAGAGTGAGCTTAGCACCCAGCTCCTTCCACATCTCTCAACCCCTTGCTCCTGGCATGTTACTCTACAGAAGCTCAAAAGTTTTTGTTGAATGCAGCCGGGCAGGCATGGTGGCTCATGCTTGTAATCCCAGCACTTTAGAATGTCGAAGAGAGAGGATTGCTTGAGGCCCGGAGATCGAGGCCAGCCTAGGTAACATAGTAAGACCCCATCTCCACCAAAAAGAAAAATCAGAAAAATTAACCGGGCATGGTAACAAGCGCCTGTAGCAATCTATAGGCACTGCTCTCCTGCCTGGACAAACAGAAGAGGACCCTGATTCAAAACAATTTTTTTGTTGTTGCTGAATGAAATTTCCAGATCCCACCTAGCAAACCAGCCAGGTACTGCAGTTCAGAGACTAAATCTCCGCGAGTTCCACTTCCCACCTGGGTCTGAGGTGCCCCCTGTCAGTAGAACCAGTCTTAGGCAGAACCCCTTCTGGGGCTTGTCCTTCCCTAGGGTAGCGGGCTTCACAAGAAGCCACTGCAGGGCTAGTGCTGAGCTCTTTTTCCTTCCCAAGGGTTGTCCTTGCTTTCTCCAAGGGTGGATCTGCCTGGACAGGTCTGGCTGGCAGTGTTCCTGGGTGAGGAAATGGAATCTCTTTGTATCTGATGGCCTAGGGCAGGTTCACAGCTCAAGGGATTGGGTGTCAGCACAGACTGCCCTGCCGAGCCTCCAAGCTCCGGCCTACAGGTATCTTGGGGCAGAAAGCAACGTTTCTCCTCCTGACCTGGAGACAGGCTTTGGTTCATTGTGCAGGCTCAGAAGAACCCTAAATTTCATAGACAAGAGTCAAAACTCAGCCCGTTTACCTGGGGATGACAGCAGTGACCCTCAAGGTAGGATGGCACTTTCCTATGTGTCAGTTACTTCACAAATATGTATTCTTTTTTTTTTTTTGAGTAGGAGTTTCACTCTGTCACCTAGGCTAAGCCACAGAGCCCGGCTATGGCTAACTTTTTGATTTATTGTAGAGATGAAGTCTCACCAAGTTGCCCAGGCTGGTCTCAAATCCCTGGATTCAGGCAATTCTCTCACCTCAGTCTCCCAGAGTGCTGGGATTACAGGCGTGAGCCACTGCACCCAGCTACAAATATGTGTTCTTAAAGTACAATTCATCGAGTACTCCACAGGGGCTGTCCCATTTAAACCTCGCAACAAGTATCCTCATTTTAGATAGGAACCCCATTCAGGCTCATATAGTTAAAAACAGGCAGATCCTTAGCTGGGCTCGGTGGCTTAGCCTGTAATCCCAGCACTTTGGGAGGCTGAGGTGAGTGGATTGCCTGAGCCTGCGGGTTCAAGACCTGCCTGGGCAGGCGAGACCTCATCTCTACAATAAATAAAAAAATTAGCCGGGAGTGGTAGCACGCACCGGTAATTCTGGCTACTAGGAAGGCTGAGGCGGAAGGATCGCCGCAGCCCAGCAGGTCGAGGCTGCAGTGGCTGGGAGCAGTCACTGCACTCCAGTCTGGGTGACAGAGTGAGACTCCAACTCAAAAAAAACCAAACAAAAAAACAAAAAAAACCCCAGGCAGATCCATGGCTGGGCTCGGGGGCTCAGCCTGTAATCCCATGCTTTGGGAGGCCGAGGTGAGGAATTGCCTGAGCCCACGGGTTCGAGACCCACCTGGGCAACTTGGCAAGATCTCTCACAATAAATCAAAAAATTTAGCTGGGCATTGTAGTGTGTGCCTGTAGTTCCAGCTACTTGGAAGGTTGAGGTGGAAGGATTGCCGGAGCCCAGTTGGTTGAGGCTGCGGTGGCCGGGAGCAAACAAACAAACAAACCAAAAAAAACCAGGCAGATCCAGGGTCAAACTCTGCTTGAATTTACACTCAGAAAGGCAGCAAACATACAGGGAGAGCTGAGTTTCGAGTCATACAGGCTGAACAAATTATAGGGGTAATCATACCAACAATGATGAATTGTTAAAAGTATACATTAGCCAGGTGTGGTGGCACAAGCCTGCAGTCCCAGCTACTTGGGAGGCTTAGACAGAAGGATTGCATGAGTCCAGGAAGTTGGGGCTACGGTCAGCCATGATGGTGCCACTGTACTCTATGAGCAAC